CCACCAGCACTCAATTCTGTTCTCACACTGGACTGCTGTGACTAATTCTGCCTTGAATATGACAGGACAGGCTCTCAGACTCTGATTCCAATTCATTTGGGCATAGAGAAATTGAAACCCTTGCAAGCTGTGGGTAGACATGCAAAGTGGTGAAATTATAGGGGTTTCTCCTAAAACAAACAGAACTAGCATATTGTGGAGGAAGGGTAGCTTGGGATTTGGGATTATTCTTTGCAGTGCTTGGGGGTGAGTCCAGCTCTACACTCAAAAGGGTCACTTCTTGACATCTGCACTTGTTTGTTCATTGCAGCACTCTTTACAATAGCCAGAAACTGGAAGAAACCTGAATGCCCAAGAACAGATGACTGGTTAAAGAAACTTTGGTACATCTACACAATGGAGTACTATGTAGCTGTTAGAAAAGATGAAGTCATGAAATTTACATACAAGTGGTACAATATGGAAAGTATCATGCTAAGCGAAATGAGTCAGAAAGAGAGGGATAGACATAGAAAGACTGCATTCATCTGGGGGATATAAAGTAACAAAGTATGAGATTAATACCCAAGAATAGCTGAGATCAGCACCAGGAGGATTACTCCATAACTTAGAGGCCAGCCGGTTATCCTAGAGGAAAGGGCAGCTCAGATAGAGAAGGGAGCACCAAATAAAGGATGTTTGGAGGATCCTCCCAGGAGGGGAGATGCATGTCGAAAGTGGACTATGGACTGAACATGTTTGCCACTCAATGCCTCTTTTGCAGACCACAACACCCAAAAGGAGAGAGAGAACACAGGGGATTGCCCTGCCACAGAGACAGGGGGGGATGGGGGGACGGGGGTGGGGGGATATTATCCATGGTGGTGGAAAATGGGCACTGGTGGAGGGATGGGTATCTGATCATTGTATAATCGAAACCCAAGCACAAAAAATTGTAATTCTACAACTGTAAAAAAAAAATAAATAAAAAAATAAAGGGAAAAAATTTAAAAAAAAAAAGGGTCACTTCTAGCTGTGCTCAAGGGACCATGTATCACCTGGGATTGAACCCGGACCTCCCACAAGCAAAGCACATACTCCAGCCCGTTCAGCCATTTCCCCAGCCCCAGAACTAGTATATGTTCTAGCAAACACACTTTCTAAAAGAAGTGAAATTGGACCCTTGACAATTATCACCATTCGGAATGTTTAAGAGCAAGGTTTCAACAGAAACCTGCTTTTCTCACACTTTCTGAACTGCACTACTCTGAATGAAATTTCAATAAAGGCTTTGTGATTTATTTAAGGGCAAGAACATATAAATTTTACAGAAAAAACTTGGGAAATCCCTTCATGATGTTTCAGTTTTAAATTGACAGAGCAAGAAAAGATTACAAATTTTTAAAAACCTGTTCATGCTTGAAATCAATGCATTCTTTTCCTATGAGCTACTATGGTACTTAGTAAGTGCAAGCAGCAGACCTGGGTTTGATCCCCAGTACCCCATATGAATCCCCTAGTCTGCTAGGAGTGATCCCTGGCGAAGAGCCAGGAGTAAGCCCTGAGTACCGCTGGAGGTGGCCCAAAAACCAAAAAAAAAGAAGAGAAATGTAAGTTCTATAAATGTGTGTTTTGCTGTATTAATAATACTTCATTAGCAAATTATCATTTTTAATAAATTTGAATTCTGGCAAGCAGTTAATACCCACACAATAACAATTAAGTAACTGGAATTAGAAAGACTTCATTGGAAATAGATTCAAAAGTTGGGACCTCCACAGGATGGAGAAGAGACCACTAAGTAAACAATGGTTGGAGGGATCACTCAGGATGGTAGATGTGCGCTGAAAGTAGACTATGTTCCAAACATGATGGGTTCTTGGTGCCTATACTGCAAGCCATAACACCCAAAACATAACCTCCAAAAGCAGAGCGGGAGTAAGAGGGAATGTGCCTGCCATAGAGGTAGGTGGTGGGAGGGGATGAGGATAGCAGGAGGGACACTAAGAACATTGGTGGTGGAGAATGGGTACTGGTGGAGGGATAGGTACTCGAGCATTGTTTGACTGAGACGTAATCACAAAAAATTGTAAGTCTGTAACTGTATCTTATGGTGATTCATTAAAATTAAAAAAAAAAGAAAAAGAACATCATGGAACAAAGGACCTCTGGACATCACGGGACTTAGAAGGACAGAACCAGTGAGAATCCAGCATAGATCAGGACTCCATATATGGGACATCAAGGGACAAAACCAGTGAGGGATCAGCTTGAGGTCTGGACACAGGACATCAGGAAACACAATATTGTCATCTTACAGTGGTCAAATAAATAACTATAACTTCAAAAACAGAGTTGGGACCTCCATTCCAGAATCTCACAGGGTCACCTGAGGAGATCTGTGCCACAGCTCTGCTGGAGGCATCAACCCTCTTCTCCCAGAAGGACAGTCAGGCTCAAACAGGACCTGCTGGATATTTGGTCAAATACGTGTCTTCCAAAACGAGCTCCATACCAAGCCAGCAAACTATGTGGCCATGCATTTATCAACTGCAGCAACAATACGAAAGTCCAACATATTACTTATCTACACTGCTATTACGTAAAAATAAATTCTGTGGCATTGAATTGATAGACTACATGTTTCTAAGCAATGCAAAGAAATTCACTCCCTCCCCACACCTGCAACCTGTTTCTGTTCCTCATCTAGCATTGCCACCTTGGAAGAGGCAAAAAAAAAATGGGATGGGGGTAAAAGTCATAACAGAAGAGAATGGATGCTCTTCTCCTACCACAAACAAACTGGATGGTCTCACTGGGCTGAATTCACACCTTCCTGGAAATGCACTGCCAGCAGATTAACTCCATGGGGAAGAGAAACAAACAAACTGAAATATCTAAGAACTGCCAAGGGACTCGCTGGAGAATTACCTGATGTTTTTCTGAATATGAAAACTGATGTCATATTTGTTTCATAAATTGTAATTCTGAGAGTCTCATTAAAAATAGAGACACACATATGACTCTGACATTTGTCAGCAGATGAACCCCCCAACACACACACACACACACACACACACACACACACACACACACACTCCAGTGACCACAGAGAAGTCATATCACCAGCTCCTTCATGTTGTTTATAAAATTTCACTAGTTATTGAATGGAAGTCAACTTGCAACAAGAAAATGAAGGACCTGAAATAGTTTCTGAATTCGATATAGACACAACTTTAAGTTATTTTTACTAGTTTTAGAAACTAAACAGGAAGATCAACGCAGATTATCCACCCTCATGAACTCCCAACAGATGAGACAAAAGGCGAATGGAAGGGCCCAAAGACCCCAGTTTTGAGGCCCAGCCCTCTGCAACAAGAATCAATACGGTCAAACAAAGAGCTCTGCAACCTTAATTGAACTGTTTTTCTAGAAGACTTGAACGTTAAGATTTTCCTACTTATAATTTAATGAATAATGTGCAAGAATAACATCTGAAACATCAATAAATATCATTCTAAACAGAACACTTGGATTTCTCATGGTCAAGAGTCGACTGAGAAAGGCATGTCTGCAGCGACAGTAAAAGATTCCATTAAAGCCACTGCAATATCTCTGCCAGTCTGAAGGGGAAGAAATCTAATTGTGAATCCCAATAACAGAAATTTCCTAAGGTCAGGTGTAATATCTGACAAGGCAGCTTACAATCCTATTCTTCTCTGAGTTTCCCAAGGCTATCTGGGTGTGTGCATTTTACATTCTACAGAAATAAGCTTCACAGCAAGGCAAGAACATCTCTGTCTCACGGACCAAGAGGACAAGATGCCGCAAAGCCCAAGAAGAAAGATGTTGGCAGGAGGAGCTAAGCCAGCTGTTCTCAGACTGAGCTCTTCATCCCACCAGCTCTACAGCCACTGTGGGGGCAGCACCATTGTTCATCAATTTGTTCGAGTGGGCCCAGTAACATCTCCATTGTGAGACTTCTTGTTACTGTGT